TTTACTATATCTATTTCTTTAAAGGATTTATAGAGTTCAGAGTTAGTTCCAGATATTGTTACATTTTATGCTACCAAAATACTTATCAAAATTTTTCTTTCAGAGACAGAAATTTAGCTTTTAGCTTTTTCTGTCATTGCCCAGGTATTAGCAGAATATGTAAGAATGGGTCTGATTAAGCTTTTGTAAATTAAAATCTTCGCTTTTCTGTTAGTGAAGTTTGTTTTAAAGTATTTTTTGAGACCGAAAAAACATCGGTTAGCATCTGTGACTCTACTACGGATCTCAGGCATTAAATCATTGAGAGTATTAACTTCTGATCCTAAATATTTAAATTTGCTAACAGTTTCAAATTTGTAATTCCTAATTTCAAAATAGGGGCTGCTGTTATTAGCACATGGCATGTATTTAGTTTTATTTTGGTTGAATGCTAGATGCATTTTGCTGGTTGCAGCCTCTAGAGATGTAAAAGCCTCTTTAAGTGACTCAGGAGTGCGTGCAACTATGTCAATATCATCAGCAAACGCAAAAATCTGAACAGACTTGTTAAAGATAGTTCCACGAGTATTAATGTTGGAGTCTTTAATGATTTTTTTGGAGGGTTAGGTTAAAAAGCAAGCAGTCCAGTTTATCACCCTGTCTGATCCCACTTGAAATAACAATAGGCTCAGAAAGATTATTCTGGATTTTAACCCTAAGTTTTGTCTCAGTAAGAGTAATGGTGACCAAAGTTATAAATTTTTCAGGTATTGCAAATTCTCTCATAGCTTCAATTAAATATTTTCTGTTTACTGAATCGTAGGCAGTCTTAAAATCAACAAAAAGATGGTGTGTTGCAATGCCATATTCATTAGTTTTTTCCAAAATTTGCCTAATGTTAAAGATTTGTTCTGCTGTAGATCTTCCTTTGCAGAAACCACATTGGTACAATATTTTAAACCTACAATATTTTCTGTTTAAGTTACAAGTCTACTAAAAAGAATATTGGAAAATAGTTTATAGAAAACACAAAGGAGACTGATTCCCCTGTAGTTGGTACATTCCAAAATGTCTCTTTTTTGTGTATAGGACAGATGATGCTCAGTTTCCAATCTTCGTCTAAAACTTCTTTGTTCCAAACTGATTCGATGAGGTGGTGTATTTCCTCAATGTTTTGACTTTTTAATAAGTTCTGAAGTAAAAGCCTTGGGCCTTGTTATTTTTGAGCTTGCAGTACACTTTAAATTGTTCATTATATTCCCAAAATGTTTATACAAATTCTTCCATTTCCTCTGTTTCCACATTGATATGACAGATCAGTTACTATAGACTAAATCTCCCATCGTTAATAAAAGTTTACAATTTCAAGTATGTAAGATATGTGTTTGTTGTATTCTGTACTAACTAAATTGTTGAGCAAAAATTCAGACATGCATTGTACTAAAAGAATAAAACACAGAATAACAGTAATACTGTGTTTCTGCTTCAGGTATACTTCTCCCGAAAAAAAGGGTATACCTATTTATAATAAATATTATAATTAAAATGTTTAAAAAATTGTATGCTTTGTAAGCTGAAAATGGAACAGAAGACAAATTGAAAGTTCTTTATCACAGCAGTGGTTTTTAAAAACCTGTAAATTCAGTTAAAATGAGTTTAAAAAAAAAATAAGGTCTTGATTTAAGAAATAATAAGATGGTGATTTATTTAGAAAATTCAAAGTGTTTTAGACAGTACAGCACAAAGTTCAATATCCAGACCTCCAGACTGCAAGTTTTTTTTTCTAAATCAGCCCCTTACTAAATCTAGGAATGGGGAATATAACCACTCAACAAAAAGCAGGTGTGCTATAAATGCAATTCTTTTCCCAACTGAGATTACTGTGGGTCACTTTCTAACACTTGCTAGCTAGCTAATCACACTGTGGTTAACGACACTACACAGTGTATTCAAAACATTCCAGGAGTGATCACGCACAAACCATATACTACAGAAGATGTATTTACATTTGATGTTAAGCTTCTATATAGTCTCCTTTCAATTCAGTTTTCCCAATTTAAAAAACAAACTTTGATGTTCATTCCTTGCTCCATTTTTAGTTCATTCATTGCTCCATTGTTTTTTCTCCATTCATTGCTCTCACGCTTTATGCAAATTATTGCTGCCAAGTTGGAACTAGTCTGAAACGAATGCAACTACTTAATACACATGTAATACACATGACTGAAGGTCATTGTTACATTATGCTACTGCTTTTTCTGAGATAGTGCCATTTGTACTTTTTTACGAGCATGAGTTTTAGAACTTTCCCTATAAATTGTGTACATTGATTGATTGACCTTGGCCGAAGCCATGTTGTCATTCCTTGAGTAGTTATAAGGGGTTAGCATTTTCCTGTCTGACCTAAACAATAAGTGAAATCCCAAGACATTTTTGCTTGGAATGGGATGTTATACTGGTTTTCTTTTGTTGTCATAGCAGTCAGAATCCGGGAAACTTAAGTTAACATAGTACACTGCCATCTTCCTTTGCTTATATTTGTTAATATTGATTTATTTCGGCATATTATTTTTTTAGGCTATTATTATAGTTTTCTGATCAAAATTAAAGTTTGAATTTTCGATTATGTTGAAATGAGTTTATAATTCTGGAGCTGCAGCAAAAGCATATTTTGATGTTAGTCAAGCAAAAAGTAGAATTGCTACAAAAAGCGGAAAAAGGCATATTTATCTTAAAATTATGCAATGAATATTGCTCTAGAAGTCAACAATGTATGGCATAAAAAACAGAAAAAAGAACTTTTTGTTGATTCTAACACATCACTTGCAATAAATAAGACAAAATTGTTCATTATTTTTAAAGTGACCATCATGACAAATTGATGATTGAATACTTGAGACAGCTTCACAGTGAAGGAGTGTTTTTAATGTGTCGACTGCTGATGGCTGAAGCCAAAGTATTTCATGAGGAAATAGATTTAATAAATATTAGTGAACATTTTTAACTGGTTAGTTAATCAAATTTTAAAATACGCATGTTGTATAAAAAATTTCTGGCAAGAAAGCCTTAGCTGATATAGAAGAACTTAAAACACTTTGCATGTGAATTTATCAAACTAATTAATAGCAAAAAATTACCTGCAGAACAAAATGCTGATGAAACTGGTCTTTTGTGGCAATATGGTCTAGGATTACCTTGGGGATATCTACAGAAAAGGTTCCAGCTGGTGTCACAGATTCCAAAGCAAGATTTTGGAATAGATTTTGTAAATATACTGCATGAATACACAAATATATTTTTTTTATAATTTAAAAAAATACACTAACTTGCACATTTAAAGGAATAAAGAATTTCTCCATCGTCTTTCATTCAAATAAAAGAGTATGGATAACACAAAAGATTAATGATGATTAGTTTGAAAATTATTTCATACTCAAGGCTCAGCAACATTTGAAATCGATTGACTTACCGAATAATGTAAAAATTGTGCTGATAGGGCCACTGCTTGGCTCAGACTTAAAGTTTTAGTAGAAGATGACATCTCCATCTTATTCTTTCTCCTAAATTGTACATCCATCATTCAGCCAGTGGATATCAGAGTGCTGTGGGCACTGAAATGCAGATATAAAATAGCCTTTTAAAAATTTGTCATAAATTCTCTAAATAAATGTTATGAGAGAATATGTCTGCAGATATTTTAAAAAATGCTCAACATAATTTATGGCTATCTTCCATATTTCATGATAGTAATGTTAAAAACCACAAATGTGAAGATTTTTGGAAATCAGTAGCAAAAGCCATAATTTTCCAATTAATGGAATTATTGAAAAAAGTGGGGATAAGTGATAATAAATGAAAAATGATGTAATGGAAGTTTTCCATTACGATAACAGTATCCCAATCATCATCTAACTAATGGTGAAATCTATAGTATGGTTTTAATCCAGATAATGTTGTTACCGATACTGAAGAAAATGATCAAGAGATTGTTGAGAATGGAAAGATTGCAACTGACAATTTAGTGGGTATTCTCAGAACAATGGAACTATGTAACTGAACAAGAAATTATGTGTATGGAATTAAAAAAAAATATTAGCACACACACAACACAAAAAAGCATAATTTACTTTTATAGGAAGGGGGAAAAACATAATAAAATTAATAGATAAATGTTGAGCCTCCTTTTTTTTGAAATTTTAATTCCATTAAGATAAAAAATACTTTATTATTTCATATTTTTAATTTTGTAATTTCTGCATGTCATTTTACTATATTTTTAACAGATTATTTAAAATATGGAAATTATTTAGTGTAAGGCTTCTGTAGGTAGAGTTTTTTTACCACTACCTTCTTTTGAAAGGTTTTACAAGTAGGATCTTTTTCCCATATTTTAAAATATTTCAGAAAATATATGTAAAATAAATAATTTCCTGTCTTTCTTTATTTTCCTTCTCTTTCTCTCTTTTATTTATTTAGATTTACTGCAATATTTTTGGTTATTAATTTGTAACTTAATTAAGAAACTAATATACTGCTGTACAAAGAAGAAAATAATTATTGCTAATTCTATAATCCAATGATCTCTACAGATTTTTACATGAGCACTTTTGCCGTTGATGCAGCGAGTAAAATTTTAATTTCTCTATTAACATCTATATTCAGTTTAAATTTTTTCTTCAACAACTTCAGCAGCTTTGAATAAGATAAATCCATTATGAAAATTAATAATTACCAGTACCAATAACCAGTTCCTCTAAAATGACCACTGTCACAGAAGACCAAAATTTTCTGGAACAATGGATGGCTGTCTTAAAGGTCTCTGTACATACAGTGAAACCTATCTAGTAACCATCCACGATTCCTGATTCTGTTTGAAAAACAATATTTGATAATGATGTTTATTTATGCTATAAATACTGGTTACTTTTAGGGGTGGTTACAATAGGAAGTTTCAATGTTTTTTATATTGTATATAACATACATAGTTATATGTGTAATTACTGCTTGCTGTTGTTTTATAGGAGATCCAATTGCATTTCTTTCCTGGTTCCTGAACAGCTTGCATTTAGCTTTAAATGGTACAAAGAGAAGAAACAGTAGCATTGTTTATTCTACATTCCAAGGATCTCTACGAATTTATACACGGACGCTTTTGCCGATTGATGCTGTAAGTAAAATTTTAACTTTACTATGCATTAACATTAATATGCATTAGCGTGCATATTAATGTTTAAGAATATAACTTCTTTGCATAATTTAAGAAGGTATGAACATATCTTTTGAAGTATATTGTAGTTAGAATAGTAGATTTACAGTTACTTTTTTATTATCAGTGTTGCCATTTGAAACCATATATATTTATTACTCATTATTATCAAAATAAAAAGTTTAAGTGTTTAATTATTGTATATAAATTAGCTATTCATACATATTGCAGCTTTAGAATTAAAAAGAAATTTAACTTTAGTGAATGTATAAAAGTAGGCACAGTAATATTTTCATAGTCATGTTTCTATTTCAAATTTAATGGTCAACTTACCTAATAGATTCTGACTTCTGAAGCACATCCTATCAGCTATAAGCTAAAATTAAAAAACAAGCAATTAACCAGAAATAACATCTTTTCATCTCTTTGTACGAAGTAAAGGAAGTATTGTAATTACGAAAACAGTATGACATCTGTATGTACAGGCAAAATAAAGGATTATTTTTCCCAAAATGAATTAAAAAAGGCATGTACACTATGAAAAAAAAAACTGAAATGTTTCAGATTTTAAGTTACGTCCAAAGGGCCGTTTTTTTAACGTTTTGAGTGTTACCTTTATTTATTAAATATCATGTTCTTTGCACTTAAACCATAAAATTCAGTTCAAGAGCAATATCGCAAAATAATGTTAAATTAAGCATATCTTTAGAATTTCCGATATACACAGTCTCGCGAGCTGGAGATAAAAGTATTTTTTTTCTATATAACGTTGCCATTTCTCGCTTTTAAAGCATTGATTTTGTAAATCAAAAATTCGTTAAAGTTTTACAAAATATAAAATCTATAATAAAACAAATTCCAAATTTGGGATTTCAGATGCCCATATTCGCAGTAGGATTTCGTCATTCAAAATTCGATGGCTCTATGTACCATTGTTTTATCACAATGCGAGACAATCATTTATGCAGATTTTTCATTATTTAATTTCTTCAAATATAATGCAGGACTCTAACATTTTGTGGCAACAGTTTGAAAAGTGAACCGACGTTTATGAGTCCGACGCAAAATTGCAAAACGAAAACAATAGTCCTTCAGGGACAAGGCCCCTAACAGTTCTATATCTCCCGTTCTACTAGGCTGATTAACGAAATTCAACTTGCGTTTTTCATGTCTCGAAAGTGCAACTTAGGATATGTATATAACATTGTTCTAATATAGGTATTTTGACGCTTAACCAGACTTTTTTGAAATGACATGGCAATTTTTTTCCATATTTCAATTCTACGTCTCAAATTATGCCACACTGCCAAGTTTTGTAAAAATTGGACGAGTAGTTATTAAAAAATTAGCTCTAAAAATTTAGCTCCTCGATGTTAATTGAATTCGATATATATTTATTAATATCTTTTTTATTAAACTTATTTGATATCTTCTTCCAGAATTCCAAATTTAGGCTTAATCCAAATATAATTCGCACATTTTCTGCGATTAATTTTTAAAATTTGTATTTTAAAATATTCTTTTATAATAATTTTTAAAAAAAAAAACTTTTGTACTATAACCGTATAAAATTTTAAAATCATCTCTTAAAGTAAATGTATTTCTAAAGGCACACCTGCAAAAAATTAGAGTTTTTATTCAAAATTTTCTAAGATATACATGAATTTACATATTGGCATGTTTTGAAATTTGGCATGTATGTTATTAGCAATAATAATGCCAAATGTGTTTTACACACTTTGTTTTAAAATTATTTAAAAGTATGAACGATGACTTTTTTCACTTGTGTACAGTGATAAAAATGGAAGGAAAAATAGGTTGCTATAAATTAAGAAGTTTGCCAAATGAATTGTTCTTGCTGCAAACTGGGGGGGGGGAGGAAGCCAAGATAAATATTTTAATTTCTCCGCAGATTTTGCACCAAATTTACAAAATTTAATATTTCGGCATAATTTGAGTTGTAGAATCAAAATATTGAAAAAATTGGCATATCATTTTAGAAAAGTCCGATTTTGTTTCAGAACATTCGAACAATGCTATAAGTTGTGCTTTTGCGACACAAAAAACACAATTTGAAATTCGTCAATCAGCCCAGTAGAACTGGAGCTATAGAACTGGCCCAATTTTTTCTGCGCTGTGTACGTATATACATGCATACGTACATCTCATATAATTTGAAAACCTCAACTGTAGAATGTTGAAATTTTGTGTATAGGAGTGCTATAATATCTAGTTGTGCATTTTTTTTTTTTTTATTATTGCAGTTGGGCGGTGCCACGTGTATGTACCCACTCCCGTTACCCAGTGTAAAAACTCTTACCTGGCCTTTATTTTTATAATCATTGGTCATAGTCATAGACTTCCAATTATCAAAGTGTTTTAAATGACAAAAATATTCATGTTTTGGTGATACCAAATTTTTTTAAAAAAATTGTACAAATAATGAAATCTAACTTTTAATGCAGTCTCCTGGTTCCTATACATACATTTGGGAAAGTTTTATACTTGTTATGAAAAACTAAATATACAAGATGTTTGATTCCCATACAACAAAAATTGACCAGGATATTTGATTTCAAAATTTGTGATTTTTGTTGTCATTTTCAACTTGCCTTGGGGAATCAGGTAATTAACTTACAATAATTCAAGGAAATAAGTTTAAACAAAGTGTAGGAAAAAATGGGTATAATTTAATGAGTCATACAAGGAAGTCATTTGGTGTCCACATTAGATTTTTTTAACTAAGTAGAATCTCTAGAACGCAATGGTTGAATCAAAATTAATTAAATAAATTTATAAATAAAATTACAGTGCCATTTGTCATCTCTGTTGTCTGGAGGGTTAACATTTGCACACTTAAACTGATAGAGGTATTAATTTTTTTCATACAGTTTAGCATCATCCATAAAGCATTGGTTTTACTAATTTAAGAATAATAATATAATTATTCTTGTAATCTCAGATAAAGCAAACACATAAAATACATTAAATTACATTAATGTCAAAAGCAGATCATTTCCATCAATTAAAGAAATTGAATATGACTATGGGTTATTGGAGAAAAATGTAATATGAAATGCCTTAAGTTATATTGATAATAGGATTTTACTGTTTTCTTAGTTCTATTTTAATTTGGTATTATTTCCCCCTGTGCATAAGTGTGTCAACTTTTAGGAACCTAGCTATTTTTAAACTTTTTTTTTTACATAATTGCTAGTTTATTGTTAATTATAATTATCCTTTCACTCTTCTTTGGCAAAGTGCTCTTTGATTAGGCACTGGTTTCTTTTCTGAGAACGTTGGTGTTGATGCATCTTGCCACTTCAGGCATTATAATTATAAAATATAATTTCTGGAAAAGAAAAAGAAGCAGCAAAAAGCAAGTACATACCTTATTTGGGTTTTTTATACATATGTTCTTGAGTATTGGAGCTGCTTCTAACTATTGTAACAATTTGACAACTTTCTGTGAAATAAAAATATTATTTTCTTTCTGTGTTTAAATGATAATTTATAGCATTGAATAAAAGGACATGGACACAACAATCTTGATGTGTGTGTTTCAGTAAAGATAATTCAGAAAAACATTCATTGTAAAAAAAAGTAAAAATATTTCTGTAAAGAGTGCTCATGATTCACTCTCTAAATGAAAAAAAAATATAAATAATGGTTATTGATTCATGTTCATATTCATGATCAAATATTTATATCTTGATTATGTTTAAAATTTTATAAATTATGTTAAAATAATTTTCCCATTTTTTTTAGTGTAAAATATGTTAACAAAATAATTAAATGTCAGACAAATAACTAGTTTACTTTGCAATAAGTTTAAGTATTAAAAATAATATAAACGACACCTCTCATCCATGTTTATTCCTGTGTGACAGTTTTTGGAGCACTTAACTCCAAAGGTAAGGATTTGAAATAATGTGAATTCATATAACTTCAGGTATTTGAGGTACCATCATGTTATTTCCTAAAGCAGTGTATTTTTTAATTGGTTTTGGTATTTACTATTTTGTATTTTTAAACAGTATGAAAAAGTGAATAACAGTATGAACTATTAATTTATGCTATTATGATGGGTGGCTACTTTAAAAATGCAATGGCTAAAATATCAGTTTTAAAATAATGTGTAAACGGTCTCTACTTAAAAAAACGAATTTGGTTTGAATATTTTTTGAAGGTGAACCTAATAGGATAAACTGAAATTTAATATTCAGCCGAAAACTATAATTATGATTTTGGGGTTTATTTTTTCATTTACAAAAATTTGTCTATAAAATGAAACTTGGTTACTGTATTTATGAATTAAAATTTGGCATCTGTAAATTTTTACTTGTTTTCACTAAAAATGTTATCAATATTTTGATATGAAAAATTTATTTTGGTCTTTTGATTAATTATTATTATTTTACCTTCTTTTTAGATAGGTTGTAATTTAATAGCAGGACAGAATTAAGACTATTAGAGGCCCTAAATAGTTTAAAGATTTGGTGCTTCCACGTGTTTTTTCTTCATTCCTTCTTCCTCTCTCGATTTCGGTTTAGCTGTACCCTACATTCCATGATAAAATCATCAAAAAAATTTTTTGTCGAAATTTTTTGGTGCCACCTTTCTTGAATGGCCTGTCACCTTTTATGGTGCCCTGTTTCCTTGATACCCTAATCTTATGCGTTTAATGGTTAATCCAGCTCTGTTTAATAGATACTTACCACCAATATTAAAGTTTGCTAACTTAGTAACTCTATTAAACCAAAATAAAGCTACTTAAGATAAAATTTAATGTAAATTGTGAGTGGGCACTGCATTGTTTGTAGCTTTGTTAAAATAAAAATATAAACAAAGTATTTGAATACAGTAAAAAGCTCATTTATTCAGCATTCATCTAACTAGAAAGCTCAGGTAACTGGAATATTTTAGAATTTTAGAAAAAATCCTCTCCTTCCAGAAAATTTTTAAAAAGTAAGAGATTTGTAATGCCATTATTGATCTCATAATACTAATAACATGTAGACATCTTCAAACAATGTGATTTAATACCAGTAATGGATAAGCATGACATCACAGCACAATCATAAGAAGTTCATTTTGGTTTAGTGTAAATTCGATTAACTTTAATTTTCAATAAGCTTGTTTAATTTTTATAAAGATGTATATAAGTTCTTATTTTTTTTTTCTTGGTATTAAAAAAAAAAAAAGGATTTATATTTGGAGCTGCATGCATGAAGTTGCTGCATATTTTTAAAGTTAGCCAGTCCGGGCATAAAAAAAAAAGCCATGATATGTGGCTTTCAAAATGGATAAATAGTGGCGATGTAACTTGAAAAATTATGGCCAGTAATATTTTTTGTATGCGATATTCATAGTTTGTATCTCTTTGTCATCTAACAAAATGAAAAAATGGTATTTTCATTTAAACTGCTTGAATGATTGGCAACCTCTTTAGCAACTTTCATTCATGTTGGGCAGGATTTTGGAATTGCATGGGCCTATGAAATGTGTTGCCTTGTATAAGACTGAAATGTTTGCCCCCCCTAAGTTATTATTTAATGCATTTTTCCAAATGGCAGCATACTCAGATGAAAAATAAAACAATCCATTAAAGTGGAAAAATATTATAATGCTATTTTATAAAAATATTTGATATTTTTATTTAGATATGTCATGAATTAAATACATTTTTACTTTTGAATCTGAATCAGATTCAAAAGTTAAAAAAAAAAAAAAAAAAAAAAAAAAAAAAATACTATTCTTAAGAACTGCATCTTTTGCTTTTGAATAACGTATAGTATGTTCGTTACTAAAAGAGAGATTAAGTTTGAAAGATAATTATCTTACATTTTTCGGAATGGCAACAGAGTTGGATGAAAAGTGAAACAATGCAAAATTCCTTTCCCAGTCTAATAACCCTTTCCTGCTAAAAATTATTGCAATAATTAGAAACTCTTTCATTAGACTCATTGAGGGAAAATATTAAAAGTTTTTCTCCTTATTGCATCAAGGATTCTTCCCAAAATGGTTGTCATTTTTTATAGTTTAAAGTACAGATTTGTATTGTTTAAATTAAGGGATCTTTCAAAAATCAAAAAAACATATCCCTAATTTTTTTTTAAATCCTCAGTATGTAAAGAAAAATTAAAAAAAAAAAAAAAAAAAAATTAAAAACTGCTAAATTAACTTGAGCACTAAATGTTTGGATCTAGTTAAAGTAAAGTCAATTAAAAATGTTTGTCTAAACACATGAAATGTGGCTACAAGCAGAAGAAGGCAGTACACACACACACACACACACACACACAACACAAAAAAAAAAAAAAAAAAAAAAAAGTATTTTAGTTCTTAAAACATAATTATTATTTATTTATTATTATTATTATTTTACAGAAGAACAATTGAAAAAATGGCCAGTAAACATATATGCCCTTCATTGTCATATAATTTGTAATTTATGTTTACAACAAAAAATTTTGAAAAGTTTCATTTGCTTCAAAAATGTGTAGTAATTCATTTTGCTATACTTGCTATTGTCGATGATCTGAAAATTTTATCGCCTGATTTAAAACAAATTGACTTCCCAACTTGGTTCCCCCCCGGGGGTGTCGATGTAGAGAACTCTGCGAAGCTACTTGCTAGGATCTGTACCTAGGCAGTCTCGGCCATGGGGGTATAAAATTTATGAACTTGGTGGATCTGAATGCCCTGGGAAAGGTAACTTATTGGTCGGCCTCGAGGTCTGGCACGCCCTAGCGTGGTATGGTTCTAGTAGCCCGGGGGGTGTTGGGTAGCATTCCTGGATTCGCTGGGTAATGTCCTCCTGCGATGGGCAGCCCGAGCGACTGGCAGGTAGCAAATCAAACGACCAGTGCTGCCTGGTGAATTTCAGGTGGTGTGCCACTCTCCTGGAGGAGCAATAGCGGAGGTTGAACCTCTGCGATGCACCCTAAAGGAGGAGTGGATCTGTAATGTTGTTCAGTCTAACAAGGCAGGGAAACCTATAATTAGTTAGTTCCCAACTTGGATAATGCAGCCAACGCCAGTGGATTTGGGTGATATTTCAAATATGCAATATAAAGGAGAACTTACAGAAATGCAAAATGATGACTCAGTTAAAATTTTATTTAATATAAAAGGAGCGATGGCATGGCTTTGTGAGAAATCAAATATCCAAATGCAACAAAATGTGCAAGAGACATCTTCAGTCTTCATATTTATCTGAATGAGGATTTAGTGCTTTAAATGATTTGCTGCCCCCCCCCCAAAGAATGGATACGATAAAACAGGGAGACTTGAGATTGAAGTTAACTAAACTAGAATCTGACATAAAATATTTTTAAAGCAAGCATTGAGTGCAAGGATCTCACTAAATTTAAATAATAACAAATACTTAAAATAATATAGAAGAAATTTTCATTAAATTTATTTTGTACTTGAATTTCAGTTCTCCATTATACGTTTTGAAAGTTTACTTACTGTGTTTGCTCACAAAGTTTCCTAGTGATTTCTTCGTAAAAACTTATCATTCAAGTTTGTTTCGTGAACATATCAGATTTTGAATATTAAAAATTACGTATGTGCTAGGGGAAGCATAAGAATTTTAGAGAGGATTAGGTGGGGCATAGCACAGAAAAGGTTGGGAAAACTGATCTACATGTTATCGTATAAGATTTAAACTGATGATCTAAAGTCCAGAAATTTCCATAATCTACAAGTTATGCATACACATTAAATATTGTGCAAGTTATATAACATGTTAACTTGGTGATAAAATTTTGATTAATGAGAAAAATAATGTTTTATACTACAGTGTGAAGATTAACCAAATGCCATTTTATTTGAAGTTTCCTTAGCCATTCTCTATAGCATAGCTACTTTTATTGGTTTGTATCAGTGAGTTTTTATTTTTGCAGTTGGTCCAGAAGTTGCTCATCAGATTGTGCTCCCCCCCTTTTTTAACAAACTTTGCCTTTTATTTATTAATTGAACTTGGTTTTTCTTTGTGATTAATAACTTTGAAGATTCAGAATTTGTTTCATTAATTCCTGTGGATATTTTTTAACTTAAATAAATATGTTTGTATAATAAATTAATAATGCATTTATTTATTTTTGTAGACCGAAGAAGAAAAGCAGCAGTTATTATTAAACGAAGATTACCAAGGTATTGGTGTTCATTTCTAAATTCTATTTTATGTTTTATTGTTTCTGAAATTGTATTTTAAATATATGTCATTAATATTTACATATGTAAATCAGACTAAAACCGTGATGAGTTTTCATTTTAAGTATTTTTTAACATGTTATTTGTCTGTCATCTGAATTTAATCTCTTTGTAATATTTTTTTATATATGTATATTTGAAGAATTATGCGTTTTGTGTTCTGAGTATTTCTGATTTCAGTGATTCATTCAGTATTGATTCATGAAACATTGATTATAAATTGTGTTATGCAATTTGTAAATATTCTTTCCATTTTAGGAAATTTATTAGCTTAACATCTTGAAGACTGTGGCCGAAATGTAGGTCAGTTTTGCAGTGTCTCGAAAAGATGGCTGCAACTGAAATATCGGCCAGAGAAGTTCTACCCACTTTTAACTCCTCAGGCTTTGAGGATAGTTATTGTCCATTGACATTTCTGCTTCTCACAACTATGTGGTTGCAAATTCTCTTTCGTTTTTCCTCAGTAGTGGTTTCACCTCGGGGGAAAATTTTCAATGTGTTTCACATAATTCACTTGCTCTCTAGAATTCTACATTAGTACTGCCATCTGAAAAATGCAAAATGCAGTGCAAAAATATTATTAAAAAATTTTTCATTTTTCTTTTTTAAATAAATGATAATATTAAAAAGTGCACATATTTAAAAAAGAAAAAAGAAAGCTATTATCACAAAAATGCAAGAAAGAAAAATGAACAGTGATATAGTTTGAATGATAACACCACCACAAAGAGGGAAAATCAATAAAATGGTTCTTTAAACTAAATAAAAATATTAAAAAGAATACTGAAATGAAAAAGGAAAAAAGATGCTAATATCACAGAAATACAAGGGGATTTGGTTAATGTATATGTATAGTTAAAATTGTTACTAAATTTTCATAAAAAATGACTGGAATTTCCAGTTTATGGAAGAAACAAATGGCCAAAAATTGTTTTCATGTATAAATTAAAACTCTTAATCAATACATGCAATTCTAAACCATATTCAGTTTAACAAACAAATTAAAGCTGATTAGAATATGTATTGATGTGAAATGTACATAGGAAATATTTGCTACCAAGGGCTGTTTTCAATATAAGCAATTTTTGCAAAAGTTAATATTCCATTATTCGACTATGAAATAGCAACTTCGTGGGTTTCCCTAGTTTAGAGATTATGTAGTCGGCAAGAAAAACAGAAGACCATTGTATTAATCAAAATCGTAAAAAGAACCTTGTATTTAGCTTAAGTATATTGAAACACTCAATCGATTTCGAGGGCAGCTAAAGGTCCCTTCTCATCAGGAGAAAGAAATACCTAGAAAGAAGAAAAATAAAGGGGAAGGAGTCTCAGAAACACGTGGTCCTTATCAGCACTGCACGTCGTCATAACCAGATTTTTAATCAGAGTTACACTGGCTGCCTACTTTTACTGAGCCAGGCTATCTGATCAAACATGTAACACAAAGGACAAGAAAAATTAGCGAAGTTAAAAATAGGGAGCGAGGGGCAACTGCACCTTCACGCTCAAAATCTGAACTTCGAATAATGGAAAGTAACCACTGAACAGATTTTTATACCGTCTGGTAGTACCAAACGCGAGGAGGTAATGCCATCTATCGGCAAAAATAGTAACTGAATTAAGATAGTAGAATTTTAAAGGCATTAGGAAGGACTGGATTGGACTTAAAATCATTAACTAAACATGCTAAATCTTTGTGAATATGAAAAGCCTCAAGAAATCCAATTCACCTATGTAAGAAGCCTTTTGGATAATTTTTGCAGACCCAAAGTCAAAATTATGGTTAAATGTCCAACTATGATACGCTATTGAAGACTTGTTAATTTCGCCTTTCCTGACATAAGATTCATGTTCCTTGATACGAAACTTCAACGCTCTTTTTGTTTGGGCAGTATATCTTAAACCACACTGACACGATATACTATAAATTCCCCAAGAATTCAAGACAGAAACACAATCTTTTAGAATCGAAGGGTGAATTTTATTAATAGGGGAGAAACCGACTTGAAAATTGAATTTCTGGAGAATCCGTGCAATTTTATAGCTAATAGAAGGATAAAATGGAAGCACAACAAGTAAATTAATATTATTTCTAAACCACCCCATGTCAAGTCATGCCATCCTGTTAAGCAAAAAATGGCTTCTTTTTACTAATATGTATTCCACGCGCTTAAAGTTTATTCCTCTGAATCTTTGCTTACCAATGAACTTAATTATTTGAGAGCAGTTGCGATTGACCGTGGATTTTCTCCCATGATTATTGATAAAGCTCTTAAAAAATTTTCAGATTCCCATCAAAGAAGACATTCCGCTGTTAGAAATAATATTAATGACCTTGTCGTGCTTCCAGTTTATCCTTCTATTAGCTATAAAATTGCACGGATTCTCCAGAAATTCAATTTTCAAGTTAGTTTCTCCCCTATTAATAAAATTCACCCTTCGATTCTAAAAGATTGTGTTTCTGTCTTGAATTCTTGGGGAATTTATAGTATATCGTGTCAGTGTGGTTTAAGATATATTGGCCAAACAAAAAGAGCGTTGAAGTTTCGTATCAAGGAACTTGAATCTTATGTCAGAAAAGGCGAAATTAACAAGTCTTCAATAGCATATCATAGTTGGACATTTAACCATAATTTTGACTTTGGGTCTGCAAAAATTATCCAAAAGGCTTCTTACATAGGTGAATTGGATTTTCTTGAGGCTTTTCATATTCACAAAGATTTAGCATGTTTAGTTAATGATTTTAAGTCCAATCCAGTCCTTCCTAATGCCTTTAAAATTCTATTATCTTAATTAAGTTACTATATTTGCCGATAGATGGTGTTACCTCCTCGCTTTTGGTACTACCAGAGGGTATAAAAATCCATTCAGTGGTTGTTTTCCATTATTCGAAGTTCAGATTTTGAGCGTGAAGGTGCAGTTGCCTCTCGCTCCCTATTTTTAACTTCGCTAATTTTTCTTGTTCTTTGTGTTACATGTTTGATCAGATAGCCTGGCTCAGTAAAAGTAGGCGGGCAGTGTAACTCTGATTAAAAATCCGGTTATAACCATGTGCAGTGCTGATAAGGACCACGTGTTTCTGAGACTCCTTCCCCTTTATTTTTCTTCTTTCTAGGTATTTCTTTCTCCTGATGAGAAGGGACCTTTAGCTGCCCTCGAAATCGATTGAGTGTTTCAATATACTTATGCTAAACACAAGGTTGTTTTTACAATTTTGATTGTCACATTAGTTTGTTTCTCTTCTAGTCTACCATTGTATTACTTGTCTCTTATCTAAAAATTAACAAAGGAATATATTTTATTTTGAAGAGTCTGTATTACAAATTTCATATATATATATATATATATATATATATATATATATATACACATACACAAGTGATATTTTGTTACTTTCTCAAAGAATAAAAAATGTGAAATCACAATTATGATGATATTCTGTCATGTTTATGTGAAGTTTCAAACAAGAAGTTATTTACACAGCTGAGATCTTGAGCAGCAGATTATGAAGAGAATATCTTCTTAATATCCTAAACTAGAAAATTGAGTAAATTTTTATATTTTATTTTTGAAGAAAACTTTAAAGGGCTGACTTTAATTACCTTAAAAAAAAGTATGCTAGAAGCAAAGTATTTCCATTGCAGTATTAGAAAGAAATTGTTTTGAAGAATAGTTTAAATGCCAGTGTAAATTATACTTTGTTCTGAATTTTCTAGTTAATATCTGTAGCTCATCTTTTAAACCAGGTACTGACTTGTTTCTTGTTTCAAAATTTGGATGATGTAGAAAGCAACAATCTTTGAAGGGAAGAAATTGCTGCATTTAGGGTACTTAAAAGATCCTATTTTTTCTTCTGCTGCATCCTTAGATTAAACATTTATGTGCATGTAGTAACAAATAGCATACATGGAAATTATTTTAAGAAAAACCTTGTCTCTAGTGCCTGTTATTTCACTGCAAGAAAGTATATTGAAGCAGAGATAGATGTCAATAACACTCCAATTGATTTTGTATTATATGTGAGCAATCATTCCAAGAACTTACATCTGCATCCTAAGCAGCCATTTAAGTGACTTAGTGAGATTTCACAAGAATGTGTAGAAAGAATGCTTGTTATATGCCAATTTCTTGCTCCATCCATTAATAATACAGGGCGATAGATAATATTTGGTGGTAGTGATTTGAAAAGTAAAACAGCTGTTTGATAGTGATTCGACGCAAAATGCCGTTTCAAGACTAATAACCCTTCTGCGCTCTCACTTTGGGCTAAAAAAAAGTCTTAATATCATAATTTTTGGTACCACTTTAGATAATTACTTAAGCTATCATATACATTAACATCAACTTTTAATAATATTTTTACTTTACATGAAAATATACAAAAAAATTTGCTTACTTTGAGAAATAATTCTTGATGTGCTATTGCATTATTCAAATTATTCTGAAGTTTGAATTGGTAAAATGCATTAATAAACTTTAAATTAATTAAAAAAATATAAAAAAAACAATTTATAAGAAAGAGTAACAAAATCTTTTGTGAGAAGTGGATGGCAGGCACTTAGTGAGCTCATCTCTGACAAAATGTCTGTATTGTTCGCAAATATCGCTCTCTAAGGTAAATGAATTATCACTCTCATCCATATAACTAATTGGTTCATTCATCATGCAGGTATATCTTTCCTCTGATGAATAGCGCATTCTTGCCATTGTAAACTGCAGTCAAGGCTTTCTGAAATGGAAAGGGAATTATGTGAAACATATCTGCTAGTGGTACAAAGCATAAGAGAACCCCCATGTAGTAACCCTAAAAGACCCAGAAACGTGAATGTTTATATCACTTGTCAAGTTAAAAAGCCGATATCTGTTTGTTTATATGATGCTTCTGCTCTTTCCCTGCAACAGCTGATACCAAAGTCAGGCATAATGTGTTCAAACTGAAGGTCAAGATTTTAAAACTATGTTCAGTTCAAAAGTAATGGACTAGTGGTCTTTAAAAAATATTTCAGCTTAAGATGCACTTATGCGTTACTCATCTCCTAAGTGCATTCTTCAGCAATGCTTGGGTGAGATACCCTGCTGTGAGAGACATTCATAAGGAATGTGGGCTTGGGATGCCCGTCAGGAAAAGGTTTAATCCTGAAAAACAACGTTGCTTGATGTAAAATGAGACTGGAAGAATGTGAACTATTATGTAGATGAATAATATAAATATATTGTCTTTTAAAATAATTCTTTCATTAAATAACCATTCACATGTTATGGTTATGGTAATTGTTAACTTAAAGAAGAAAACAGCAGTAGCCATTTCTACTAAGAAGTTTTACTTTGTTACCTGAAAAGTTCAGGTTTAAATTTCCGTTAACTATATACTTTCAACTGTAGTAATGCAGGTTAGTAAACAAAATTAGGTTTCTTTGTTAGCATTATTTTCAAGTAATAATTAATCCTCTATGTGTTACATCATCCTCAGAATGCTATGAATAAGTGCTGTTTTCTCTGATATACTAATTTTCACTGAAATCTGACCATTAGTTTTTTAGAAATTTAACATAATTTGCAAATTTTACTAATTTTCACTAAAACCTGTCCATTAGTTTTTTAGAAATTGAACATAATTCGCAAATTTTTATAATTTTGGACATCAGTGTAAGTACATGTGTCATTAGCATTCTATTAAAATCAGGATGGGGATTAATTTTGAAATGTTTCATTTCAAATAGATTTATTAGAAGCATGTTACTGTTTTTAGGATAGAAAGCGTAAATAAGACAAGTGGTTATTAAAATTAAAGTCTGAATTTTATTTTACATATTTTTTTTCCCTCTTGCATACATATGTGTAAAATGGAAAATGTTTTCTGTAAAAAATATGTCAATATCCGTAGAAATTTTTATTACTGCCATATTTATTTCATCTATAAGTATTATATTTCCACTGAAAAAGGTAAATTTATTTACTATTAGTTAACAGCCTAATTTTTGCTTAATATTGATTTGCCTTTCATATTAATAAGAAAATCTTCAGTTTAATTGATATAAATTTAGAAAATGTTTCAGTTTTAATGAAATTATGTACTTTTTTTCCAATAAAATTTACTCATTTATAATGAAACTAACAGTTATGATTAATAATAATTCTTATTTTTATAATAATAATTATTTTTCATTTTCTGCAGAAAAAGTGGAGAATACAACTTTTCTGTACTTGACACTTGATTTGCCACCTCCGCCTTTGTTTAAAGATGAGCTGACTGAAAATATTATTCCACAAGTACCTTTATTTAATATATTAGCTAAATTTAATGGAACTAATGAAAAGGAGTACAAAACTTACAAAGATTCTAAAATGAAAAGATTTGAAGTTACAAGATTACCTCCATATCTGATTTTATTTATTAAGGTAAGTAATATTTCATGATGTGTTTAAATCTCATTATTAAATAAGTTTTATATTAAGATTTAAATGGTAGAAAATGTAAGTGGATAACCTTCATTTAGTAACATTATTAGGTTCATAAAATTACTATGCAAATTTGTGTTCTTTTACGAAACAGAGTTAATTTTCAAAAATTCCCAAAATTATGCTAACTTCTTTTTACAAATGGTAAATATATGTTTATAAAAATATGAATGGGTCATCAAAAATATATTAATGTAAATGCAGAATGCTAATTCTTTTTCTTTGTCATCACCAAACATAATTAAATGATAGTATTTTCTTTCTGGCAGAATATTCTCACTTTATCAGCTTTCTTCAGTAGCATCTTGAATTCTATGCTTTGCTTTTTTTCCCTAAATAATCTGCTGTTTTTATATGTTTGTATTTTTTTGCTGATATCTTATCAGATTTTGTAGCATGGAATTATGCATTTATCAAGATATTTTTTGAATTTTGTATTTCTATAAGTATATGATATGGAAAATAGAAATTAATTTATCTTGCCAAATTTTATACCTTTTGCAGAAAATTTGGAATGTGATTAACATCACTGAATTTTTTTTGCTTTTTGACCTTTCTTGGCTTTTTTGCATAATGAAATTGTTTACATGGCAATTTTTAGCAATTATTTATCCTTCCAAAATAATTATTTTTATTTGTGTCTGTTACACATAAAGTATTGTAACGGCATTATATTTATTATTATGTATTTATTTATCATTTAGTAAAATTGTTTGGCTTTTATTTATTTATTAGTATAGTTTGATTGTAAATTAAAATTTTCGTATGGCTGCTATATTTTCAAATTTTATTAGAGAAAACAGCATTATAAAAATGAACATACAGGATTACATATTACACAGGATTTCCTGTATATTTAGATTTAAATTAGGATATGTTATATATATATATATATATATATATATATTCATTTAAATGTTGTTTGAAAAGTTTTAAAGCTAAAAAATGTATTGATTAAATTTGCCAATTTTTCTTGCAGAGGTTTACAAAAAATACATTTTTTGTAGAGAAAAACAATACTATTGTCAATTTCCCGATCAAGTAAGGAAACCAATTTCTGCTGTGTTAATTTGGAATAAATATTTATCTATATCTATTGTGCTTTCATTTATTTGAAAAAATGTAAGATTATATTTGTGCTTTTTTTTTTTAATAGAAATGTTGACTTTTCTGAAATATTTCAACCAGAGCAACGTGAAAAGCAACCCAAGGCCATCTATGATTTAATTGCTAATATTGTTCATGACGGTGAACCAGGTTCTGGTAAAGGCACATACCGCACGCACATATTACACAGAGTAAATTACTTTATTGCTTCTGTTTTTGCACTTTACTCCTATTGTATGTTTTATCAATACTTTTGCAATGAGTCTTTTCTTATATTAGAAAGTTCCATAACAATGCTATTTTATTTTAGTGTCAAATAAGTAATATATCAGTATTTTTGTATATTTTAGATATTACGTGTAAGAGAAAACATGGTAATTTGAGCTTTTAAATTAAACAAGCATTGGTATGAAAAAAAAAAAAAAAAAAAAAAAAAAAAAAAAAAAATGCAGTGATAGCTTGGTTTTTCTTCCCCTTTCCTTTTCTTCTTTTAAAGTAGTTTATAGTTAAGCAAAATTCAGTTGATTATTGTGTTGGATTTTTAGAAAAGCTTTGCATTTTATAAAGAAATCAAATACAAATATCTCTTATATAACTTAAATAGGTTATAAAAATAAAAAAAATTAAGAGAAAAGTTATCTTTGTAGCCTGTTTGTTGAACAAAATAAAAAAATGAGAAATTGAAATTATTTAAAATTATAGTGTTTAAACACTGATAGGAATTGACCTGAGACTGAAATCTCTAACTAAGCATATAAAATATTTTAAGAATGTTAAATGTTTCAAGGAAGTTAAATTAACACCTTGAAGAAGTTTCTTTTGAATAGTTTTAGCAGAACTAATGAGAAATGAATAGTTAAGAGACCAGTAGTGATTAGCAATGGAAAGATTATTAATTACTTTTCTGTAATGAAAAAAAATAATCAGAAATTGAATTTATCAAATATTAAAAATTTGGTTAAAAGTGCATTTAAATCTGCTGCAGTTGATAATCCCAAGGCAGAAATAGATACATAAATAAAAACAACAATAATAATAAAAATCACAGCCTTATCACCCTTCACAGCAGTAACTTGAAATTCAGTGGTCACCTTACCTCAGAATGAATGTGATATTAATATAATTAAAATAATCAAAGTTAAAAAATGCAATAGCCAGATTATTAAGCAACTCTTAATATGTGAAAAATTGAAAAGGGAAGGTGTGTTATTTTATATTATTAAACAGGAATGATTGAGTAACATGAAACTTTATTGGTCCATGCTGTCATCTTCAAGCATCTGCAGTAAAACCAAATTAGTTCGACCTTTAAACATTAGTCACATCTTTGAACCTTGCTGTGAAAATTTTCAAAAAAAAAAGGAGGGGGGGGGGACTTTTTAAAATTATGCTTTAATGTTTCCTTTTTTAATGTTTCATTAAAAATAAAATGAATATTTCTGGTTTAAAAAATGCATATTATTTTTTAATATAGTTTAAACAAAAATAAAAAGTTTAAAAGTGAAATTTTGAACTTTTAAATGCAAAATACATAAAAAAAATGACATTGTTGTTAGAAATACTGTGTACAAAAGAGAGCTGATTTTTTTAAAATGCATATAAAAATGAGTTTTGAAATTAGCCATACTTACTTCAGATTAATTGGGTTTGAAAAATAAACTATTGTCATGTTTTTATTTTTCTTTCTTTCTCTTTGGCTACATTCTTAAAAGTAAATCCCCTAGAATATTAATATTGAAAGTGATTGCAAAGGAAGCTTTACATAAAAAATTACCACAGTTTGTCATATTTCAAAATGACATTTTCATTAAATGCATTCTGATATTTCAAAGTATCATATTTAAAAAAACTGACTATATATAGTAATTTCTGCATAGTTAGCCTTCTAGGGAACATTTTATAAAAATGTTGCAAAGAAGCTTAACTATGCAAAATGTTATCATGTGTCATGTGCTAGCAAGACAAAAACAAATATGCTTGTTAAATATAATGGCCAGTCTGCGGTAGCTTTTTGTTTTAACAACAAATTGTTAAACCCTGCAAAGTTTTTAAAAGGAATAATTTTGCCTTTATGTAGAAGTTCAGTTAAGCTGTGTATTTTCATTCTCAGTTCTACAAAATAAAAGTAGTGTTGTTAGTGTGGTTCAAATGTTATGAAATAATGGTTTTGTTCTTCAATTATGTGTAAACTATTGACTTTGATATTAAGTTGTAGTTTATTTTTATTCATTTATTTTTTCCTATTTCATTTGTAATTTTTTTTTGGCATCATAATACATTCATTTATATGTGAAAATAAGCTTATTTTCAAGTGCAATTTTTGTGTATATAATATATATATATAATTTTTATTTGAAAAAAATGATTTTTGTATATTTTCCTATTGATTTAGGGATCTGGAAAATGGTATGAAATGCAAGATCTCCATGTGACAGAAATCCTTCCTCCTATGATCACATTGTCTGAGGCATATATTCAGGTAGTGTAAGATCTTTATGTAGATGTTTCACAGTTCATAATGTTCCAGCTATTGAATGAGTTAGCTCCTTGAATTTTTATATATATATATTGTATATATATATATATAAATATATTGTATTTTCTGATTATCTGAACTCCCAATTTCAACACTTGACTGATTTACCCTGATTTTGGTCTATTTTTGAATATTCACATGACAATAGTCAAGCTACGCATGTGTGTATCATGAATGTGTTTGAGTTTATATGGATGTACATATTTTGTATTTAACTGTATAATAATCCACTAGCTGAAAAAATACAAATATCAGCCATACCAATTTTTTTTCCTCCTAAAATTTCTTGTTTTTTTATAAAAAAATCCTTGTTATTATTTATGAATACTTCTGAGCTATCAAGTAGCCAAATCAGCGCTGTCCAACTTATCATAGCCCGTGGGCCATATTTTCTTCACCAAACATTTCAGGGCACAAGAAGGTTGATAAATGAAAAGTCAGTTTATGTTAATAAAAAAATATTTTATTTATGCTAAAAAGAAAACTTTAAAATATTCGTAATATTGTGGCTGTAATTGTTTAGCAACAATATCTTTTATGTCCACATCAATATTTGTTGTGGCAAGTCTAATTATATCATCAAGAGTGGAATCTTTCAAACTGTTTCTATATTTTGACTTTATATATTTCATATCGGAGCATGCTCGCTCGCAGATATATGTACTTCCGAACACTGATACAATTGGAAGTCCAAAATTTCTCAATTTTGGATATTTCTCTTCATCTAAAAATTTGAATATTTCTATTCCAGTTATTCAACGAGATGTAAAAAATGGGTCAGCCTGCAGGTCGCATAATTCTATTTGATATTTAGATCAACGGAGTTGATATCAATATTAATTGGATCACAAAATAAATCAATAGACGGTTTAAGATTATCAAATTGAGAAAATCTTTCATTGAAATCTGTAATTAGCATATCCAATTTTGGTAGAAATATTTTAAAATTCGCTTCTATATTACATTGCTTCATTTCTTCATAGATCTCTTTGCAAGATTCAAAATAAAATAAATTATTTTGCTCCAAATTAAACCTTAACAATTTTAATTTGTTTCTAAATCTATTAACATATTTATAAAAGCAACACACATTTTGATCTTGTCCTTGCAAGGATTTATTCAAAATATTTAAATAATTGTAATGTCTGTTAGGAAAGAAAGTGAATAAATAAAATTTTTATCAACTAAATTTGCTGTCAAATTTTCATCGATGGCAATTTCGGTGAAAAAAATATGAACTTCTTTTCGAAGTGTAAAGAATCTCTTCAAGCACTTTCCAGCACTTAACCAATGAACATTACTATGCAAAACCAGATTTCCATACTCAGTTTCCAATTCATTCAAAAATGTTTTAAATTTTCGGTGTGTAAGAGAACGATTTCCGCCACGAATTAAATTAGTTAATTTTGCAAACCTTGTCTATTACATCTTTTAGTTGTAGGGATAAGCCACATAATGCCTCCTGACGGATAATACAGTGTAACATACAACATGTTATTCCTTCTTTTTGAAAAAGTCTCGTGAGCTCAATATTTTTGCCCGTCATAGCTCTAGCAGCGTTGGTTACAATAGCACTGCACTTGTCAAATCCGCCATACTGGTCTACTGAACATTTTAATTGTTTGTAAATATCTTCACCTTTTGTTGTTCCATGTAATGATTGTAATTTTAAAAGTTCTTCTGAATAATGATAGTTTTCATTTATAGTTCTTATAAAGATAAGCATTTGACTTGTATAGGAAACGTCTGTGCTTTCATCCAGTGCTACTGAAAAACAGCAACTGTTGATTAGGTTTTCTAATTTATTAGTGACATGCATGCTAATCTCATTTACACGTCGGCTTACAGTCTGGTGAGAAAGTGATACTGTTTGAAATTTTCTTACCATTTCGTTGTCATTAAATGCTTGAGCCATTTTTGGCGCATTTTTTAATGAATTCTCCATCCCAAAATGACTTCTTTGCCTTTACTGTTTCTAAACAAACTTCAAACAATGCAGCTACAGATGCTTCTTGAAATTTTGGTTCTTGATTAAAATAAATCGTTTGATGATCCAGCTGCTTTTTCATTTTTTTTTCACTAGTGGTATTTTCATGTCACGCATGTACGAATGATACTTTTTTTCATCCATAGAAAGATAATGGCGCTTCAAGTGATATTCTTTACACACAGCTATGATTTGTAAACATTCCAGACACTGTGGTTTACCATTCTTGTTCAGAATAAATAAATAATCTATCTCCCAGCGATCTTGAAATTCTCGATTTTTGAGGTCTATTTTTCTTTTATTAGTAGCACGCATGTTCAATAATTATTTTAATTAATACATAAATATGAAATTAAGTTAATAATATTATAACACAGTCATCCCTCAACAAATTCTAGACAAGACTGCACTCCACGATTGCATGAATCAACCAAATAGCGCAGGGTAGTGTGCGCATCACATGCACCAATCATAGATAAACAACAACCAACCACAGATATAATATGTGGCGCCAGCATTGAGCCAACCATCATCAGACGTTAAATGGATTGCTGTTGTATTCAGCCAGGTTAAGTGAAGTTACGCAAACTAAATAGTACCTACTTTAAATTCAAATTTTTAAATTTTCACATAGTAAAACAATTTTAATATTAATAATAATAATTTAGTAACATAAATTTATTCATAGTAAAATGTATTCGCGGGCCGTAAAAATAATTTAGTGGGCTGTATGCGGCCTGCAGGCCCCCAGTGTGACAGCCCTGAGCCAAATAATTGTTTTTCATCAATTGACAAAGTCACCAGTAAATTGGTGCTTTTTGTGAAAGTGTGGATTCTCAGAAAGTACCAATTTTTATTATATATAGCATAAATATCATCTATTTCTTTTAGAAGTCTTCTATATAGGCATCCCATCTGAGGCAGATATGCATTGCATGCTTTTCAGCGTAACACCAATTAACAACACCAGACTTGGCTTTCTGAAAATTAAGCTATTAATAGGATGTCAAACATATTGGTCATTTAGTCAAAATTCTGAGGACAGAAAAATTAAAGTGCTTCTTTGAAAGAATTGCCACCTTCTTGGTACTTTGGTTAGCTGTGTTGCCAGAAATTTTTCAACTAAAGTAGCAGGAAAAGATTTGAAAAATCACAAAAAGTAGCATATGATGTCATTTATTACATAATTTGGGTGAAGTCATCGCTACATATGTTCATATCACCTCTTGCGTCACCATTGGCTTCGTAAATTACGGACTGTAATTCGATACTTAAATGTTTTAATTACGTGTCTTATAGTTTTGATGAAAATTTTCAAACTATAGTGCTAATTATCCCTTGTTTGAACATTCATTTTTACTTTTAATTAATTCACTTAATTTAAATTAAAAAAATTATTTCATATATATCCATCTATTAAAATGCATCCTTAAGTTTGGATTATTAACATTTTTCTACTACCCCCCCCCTTTTTTTTTTTTTGAGTTGGCAGTTACTTTTCTAATTGATTATTTTTTGCTGTATTCTAATTGTTGATGCTTTTTGGAGAATTTTCCATTCTGCTTGATTGACTGATTTAACTTTATGAGATTCTAATTACCTCAAGCCTAAATTTGTTTATTTATTTATTAAAATTAGTTTTAGATGATAAATTATTTTAACATATAAGCGTTTTACAATATGTTAGAAAATTTTAAACTTGCAAAAAGTAGTGCAAGGAAATCATGGAGTAGAAACAATTTTGCAAAATCGCATACACATAAATTTTAGCCACACAGGTTTGTCAAAAGTAGCAAGTTTATGGAATTTCACACGATATGGTAACACTGGTGGGGAGTGGAGTCAACATCATTGTCAGTATGTTCATAATATAGATGTTTGTGATTGTGGTTCTGAGCAGAGTAGAAGTGTGTAAAAATCTATCAGTATCAGATTTCTTTCAAGAGATTATTAGTAAAAGAGGGATGTAAGATTCAAATATCACTCTTGTTATGGGCTGCTGTTTGTAATCAATAACAACTTTAAAAAATAGTTAAATGTGTATCATGATAAGGCAAATTTTTATCAGAGGTTATTAAAAGTAAAAAAGGTGGCTAATAAGAGGTTAGTCCCTTGTAACAGTCATGCGGTTCTTACAACTTAACTTCATACTGAATAATAAGGCAATTTATGAGTGTTTGTTATAGTCATTCCCACTCCTGCAGCAGTGCCATTTTCAGGTCTTGCGGAGAGATTTTGGGAGTAGAAATGCAAATTGAAGTTGGCCTCCCAAGAGCATCCTGGTCATTTTCCACAGGGTCTGACTGGCCAATCCATCCAATTGATATCCTAACTTTCCAGAATACCATCTGCAAGATTACTCTATGTGGACATTGCCATCCATTAAAATAAAGTGAAGGACAATTGTGTGCCTAGGTGAATATAGGGCTAATAAAATCTCTTTCTTAAACTTCACAGCAGTTGCAGAGCCTCTCTCAAAGACCCAAAGGTCTGTACACTTGCCCAACATGATGCTTGCTCTCATCATCTAATGCCCACTGCCATACTTATCCCTTTCTGATATAGGATGATAGGTAGCAGCTCCTAGTTCTCTTTAGTTGAAGGTACATTACGAATCTGTGGTTAGATAGAAGTGAGACTTATCTGTGAGAAGAACAGTCTGCCTATTTAATATGGCTCGATAATTCGATGTTCTCCACACCATGTTAAATGTTAAATTTTGTATGAAAAAGTAAGTGGGAGGCAAAGAGCCTTCTCAGACAGTAACCTTTGAACCCTACTGATAACAGTAATTCTTGAAACTTCTTTTATGCTTCACTGAAATAGAGAAATATTGATATGCACTGGCTGTCATGGCTCTTGGATGATCTTATCCAGGCTTTCTCTTTATATATTCAGTAGTCTTAAATTCTTTTTATAAGGTACACATTACACTGAGTATTACCTTCAACTCTGT